CCAATCTTTAAAATATTTTAGGGTTATCACTTCAGAGGGGGGGGAATGTTAGAGTAGCCAAAAGCCCCATAAAAATAAATAAAGAAAAAAGAGTACATAAAGTTGTCAGAAAAAAAGTGATGGGGAGATATGGGGAGTTGGAGGGGAGGGAGTGGGCATGGATTTGTGCAAAACACCTTATATCCCTGTATGAAATTCTCAATAAATTATTTATTGTAGAAAAAGAGAATAATAAATGGAAAAACCCCATGAATCCTCAAAAAATGTATAAGGATACATACTTGTATGCATGGGAAAGGCCAGGAAAGACAGATGAAAGTCACACCCACATGGGTCCTTACCCTTAGCACCATACCATACATGGACTCCAGGGTGCTGATGCCCAGCAACACCCACACTCTCACTGTGCTGAGCCACCAGTGTAGGGAGGGACAGCAACAATGAGGTTAAGTTTCCCCCAACTTCTTGTTTGCTGTCAGATTGAGATTCCTTTGAAGAAAATAAAAAACAGAATATTTTTCCTAAACTGAGTATTTAAGTTTGTTCAATGAATTGAATATCAAAAATCTTTGATGAGTGGGTACCTTCCTGATGCTCACTCTGTCTCATGTACTTGGTCTACAAACTTAGCCACACTTCCCAGTTCCCACAAATTTAAAGAGGATATTCCTAGCCTTATAGATGTTTTCCTTCTTCCATTGGTCATTTCAGAGGGCACCAATTATGCTCATCCTCACAAGACAGCCAACTGTAGTGTCCATAGCAATACTCACTCAATATTTGGTGATTAGAATTGGCCAGAACTGCCTCTGGACTATGCCAGTACTCTTGTCCTTTGTGGTTACTCTGAGACTCGCTATTATCACTCTGAAAGCTCCTAGTTGTTAGTCTGTGGACTCTTGTGGTTAGTCTGTGAAATCCTTGTCATGCTGTAGAACACTGCTGCTTTGTGGCTATCTGCTGTTTCTTTGTATTACTCTGTGTAATACACATATTTGTAAAATGTCAAGTGCTATTTAAACTTGAAAAAGGGAAAAAGAGCAAGCAGCTAAGAGTATTAAAACATTGTGTCCTTGAGAACAGCTAAAAGGTAAACCATTTCTGACGGAGGTTACTATTGTTTATCCCAGCATATAAAAATGCCTGTGGTGGGAAAGACAGAAGCTCATCCACGTAGAGACTTTTAACCTGTAACTCGCATAACTGTTTGCCTCCTCAATCCATTTCTGCTGGATGGTGTAAGCAGCAATTTGATGGTGTTCTGTTATATATCTGTTGCTTCTGTCTGCTACTTTCTACTTGTACTTTTATTTTTACTTGCTATATGCTTAATGAAGTCATTTGAAACTAAAAGCACAGCTACTGTAGATCATTCTGTGGACCCATGGAACATGCTGTTAGTCTGAACATTCCTGCTGTCACTCTGTGGATATTTATTGCTATTCAGCGTTACTGTGAGCTGTTGTTTAGTGGGTTCCCCTATTAATCTGTGAATTTCCAGTGTTACTCTATAGACTCTTGTGCATTCCCACAATTACTTTGTCTTTTCTCAGTATAACTGGTAGAATTATTTCAAAAGGAACTATGTGGATACTATCGAATTAGGTTAAAATTAATAAGATGTTCTACAAGTTATATTGATTCGACTTATTTCAACTTTCACATGATGTGAAAGGGTATACATATCACCACCCTCTCTTTCATTTTTAGTATATTATTCAATAAACTCATGATATACTTGTTGCATACATTTCCTGGGGATATGTAACCAAATATTTATTCACCCTATATGGCAACATCAGACCAAAGAAACAATTTCACCCATTTTTGCTTAGTGAACCAGTGAATTTTACTGGGGTGACTTACAGGAGCATAGGAGTAGGATTATTTATAGAAACATGGGTAAGTCAAAGGCACCTGCATCACTGAGAAGCCCACCCCAACAAAGGTGACAATTCATCTCTGGAGCTCCCTGCACATTGTTTCTATTTATAAAACCTTGAGTAGGAGGCTTTGTGAATGTTGCTTCAGGATTTTTCTGAGTCTTAGGAGCCCTCCTCCTCTCTCCAGGAGGGAATGTGTCAGTTCAGAGAACATAGCTACACAAAATAGTCAACTCATTTTTTAAAAGAGATTTTTTAAAAGTTCTATTCTCAAACAGCCTTAAGAGTAAAAATAAATTGGTTTATCTGGGCCAACTGTATGGCCTTAAACACCCAAAAGGAAAGTATAACCAAAGATTAAAGGGGCCAATATAATTTTTAAGAGTCTATATGTATAGCTAAAGGCTGCATAACAAGCAACAATGCCAGATAGGAGATACCTTCTTTTGAGTTTTTGGCCAGGGTGTCCAAAGGGATGCCCAGATATTAACCCAGCATAGAACTGGGGAAATGAACAGCAGACCCCAATCTTATCTAAAGGAATATTGACAACTCATTGCTGCTAGATGAGGAACAGCCGACCTTCCTAAAAAAAGACCTCTAGATAGGCTGACTAGATTCACCAGATGGACAAGTAGTGGGGAACGGCTGGGGTGCTAACACAGTGGACAGTACCAGGGATAACAAAGTATAAGGGCTCTAGTGGGGGGGCTATGGGAGGGTGCCATCTGGGAACTGGGTGTATAGATGAATAAGATGGTTTGAGATGTTCTGTGTGATATGTACACACATAAAAAATCAACAAATTTTAAAAAATGAATTAAATTTGAGGAGGAAGCATAAAAACTCATGTCATGTTAATTAGTAGAGGTGATAAACATTACCATTGAAATCTACCCGATGACTTTATAGACATACACAGGTGCCAAGGATCCGAGTGCAACCGATTATGACTAGTAATAATCAGATACACACAGATTAGAGATGCATGCACCAACATCATGGTGTTATTAGCAAAAACAATGTTTTTCTGTAAGAAACTATATTTTAAAATGAAATGGAGATCTTTTCTAAAGGTTAAAAACACATTCAATTTTATGTCTTACAGGGTTTATACTGAGTTTGATATTGTATAACTGTATTAATTCATCAGTGAACCTAAAAATTTTACAGCCACTTTTGAAAGAGATGTATCTTTGCTTTGGAAACTCTTACTATGTTAAAGCTGTAATGAAATGCTTCTTCTAAAAAATAAAATAAAATAAAATAAATATTTTTAAAAATCCTTTAAAAAACAAAAGTTATATTATCTCTCTCTCCCTCCCTCCCTCCCCGCCTCTCTCTGCAGAAACACAAGAGTCACAGTGCACACCTGGAGGGCAGAGGACAACTTTTTAGTAGGTTTGTTCTTTTTCCACCGCACATGGGATCCTGGGAGTGAACTAAGGTCATCAGACTTGGGTGGCAGGTTGAGTCATCTCACTGGCCCTCAACACACTGTTTTAAACAGGCTTTATTAGATAATATTGCCTGACCACAGGTTTATGTATGTGTGCTGAGTGCATTTATGATAGGCTGTAATTGAGCAATATATGCTAAGCTGGGTATATTAAATACATTTTGACTTAATATTTTCATCTCACACTGGAAATTGAGGAGAAATTGCATTTTTATGGCCTCTATTCTGGTAATATTTTGGCTTGGTAATATCAACTAAAACTCCGTATTTGACCCTGATCAAACATTATGAACTTTGGTTATCATTTATTTGCAAATACATTTCACAGGTTCAATAAACAAAAACACACAGGCATTGAGCATGATTTAGAAGCAGGAGCAAGGTAACTAAATTAGGTGTGTGGAAGTAATATCGCCCACTTCAGTCCATAATTGATCTATTATTATTTTTAAAGTATGCATACAAAAAACTATTAGAATATGGACATCAGAAATGATTTACAATACTTTCCAAATATGAATACCTACCTCATTTTAAAATAAAAGCCTAAAACTGAGCATGTGTATTTCTTACACCAGGTACTTTTAAATATTTTGCACCTAACTCCTCATTCACACTTACTTCAATAGATAAGAAAAACTCCTAGCTCCTTTTTGTGAGCAAGGAGGTGCAAACGGCTGAGGCCTTTTCCAGCTTCACTCCTTAGGAGTGAGTCCAGATTGAGAGGCTCTGACTTGCAGTCCCCCTTACCCACTGTGGTATGATTTGTCCCCTCTCCTTCCCTCCCCTCCCATTGATCCCACACTCTTCCTGTTTGGAAAACATCGCACCATGTTAACGCTGCCTTTGAAGGCATTTCCAGCTTTCTAGGAACTGAAAAATACTCTAAGAATCAAGTCACCAGATCCTCTCTGAGCCTCAGGGGTATGCGTCAAAGACACAGGTGCACAGGAGATGGGGCAGCCCTAAGCGAATCTGGAACACTTGGCAGTGGGGCGAAGGATGCTGCGTACGCCGCAAGCGAGTGTCCGTGCGCAGTACGTGCCAGGGTGCGGACTGTACGGTCGGAAGCGGGCACCAGGAGACTGGAGCCAGCAGACCCGGGCAGGGCCAGCGAAGGGGGGGGTTCAAAGGTTCCTCTGTGGCAGCACCCGACTGGAGCCCACAAGGGGTTGGTTCATGTTCACTGCGCACGCGTGAGCGAAGACCTCAGAGACGGGGTAGCAACACAGCCACGTGGCGCCACGCCAGCCAATCATCGAGGCCCGGGGCGGGGCTCCCAGCGGTGCTCCCCTGCAGGCGCTGGCGATTTCCGGCAATAATCCGGCCGCCGCCCGTTGGTGCTTTCAGAGGCTGTGTCTTCCAGCGGGACCACCAGGTGAGACGAGCCTGGGGCAATCGGGGCGGGCAGGGACAGGCAGGCAGGGAGTCCACGGTCCGCCCCGCAGCCCCCTCTGGCCCTGGTGCAGGAGGTGGGCTTGTCAGCTTCCCTAGGCCCCCAAAGGCCTCGGCGCCTCCACGGGGTCCTCGCGCTTCCGAGCAGCCGGCCTGGGCACCATCCTCCAGGCTCGCGTGCTTGCTGCTGCTGCTGCTCCTGCTGCTGCTCCTGCTGCTCTCCTTGACGCTGACACCTGGATTTTGCATCTTTACCTTCGCAGTGAGCTCATTTCGACCCCTCTTCCTGTCGCTTTCCATCTCAGTTCCTGGGCCTGATCAAATTCCCATGAAATCAGCAATCTGAAGACCCGTCTTCTCTGTTCCTGCAGTCCTCATCTTCCAGTCCACATCAGAAAAGGCACGTGCTTTCCTGCTCCTTCCCATTTCATCTCCCACCCCCACCCCTTCCTTAGCACTCCCTGGCGTGTTCTGTGGCATGGGGCATCAGTGCTGATCTTTCAGGACTTAACTGGAGTAAACTCCATTTCTGACACTCAGCCTGACATATGCAGTTTTTTGATGCCCTTTCGCAGTCAGATTTGTCTAAATTTACAAGTCATATGTTTGACCTAAGTTGTTTGACCTTAACTTGAAAATATTGTAAGAAAAGTAAAGCAGCTAGGCAAAATCAAACATTTATCAGATTGAAGACCATTCTAATTCCAGAATAATAGAAATTCTCAGAATTTTAAATGAAAAATAAGAATAAAAATTATTTCACCAACTTATTTCTCTGAAATTGAAGTTGCCTTGCTATTTCTGTTAAGCTTGTTATTTATTTATTTATTTATTATTATTTTTTTACACCCATTTCCCAGATAGCACCCTCTCATAGCCTCCCTCCCCCCACTAGAGCCCTTATACTCCGATATCCCTGCTACTGTCTGCTGTGTTGTTGGCACCCCCAGCCATTCCCCACTACTTGCCCTTCTGGTGAATCTAGTCAGCCTATCTAGAGGTCTTTGTTTTAGGAAGGTCAGCTGTTCCTCATCTAGCAGTAATCAGTTGTCAATATTCCTTTGGATAAGATTGGGGTCTGCTGTTCAAAGCCTGGGCAATTCATAGACAATGTCTGTATGTGACCAGTTGTGGTACTTGGTAATAGTCTCTGACTGGTGCAAAATGAGCTTTTTTGATGAGTGGTGACTGGGATATTTGTCTGTAAATATAAGGATACATATTTTGCACATAGTAAGAAGGCACATAATTTTAGTAATGTGAAAGTTTTGGGGTTTTCTCTAAGGTCTATGACCATGCTGGCCATATGTATTAGGTTAGGTTACAGTACCACACTTGAGTTTCCTCCCTTTGAGTGGGATTTAAGTCAAATTAGGCAGTTAATTGTCCCCAAGGAAAAAGTGACACTACTGCACCAATGGAGTATGCTGTGCTCGCCGTTGATATGGTTATTTGGTGTGAAGCCTGTGCTAGATCATCCATTGGTGTTTTCTTTTGGCACTTTCATAGTATTCTCCAAAGGTCTGAGAGTTCGCATTCAGGGGAAGTGGCTTCCAGGTCAGTTGCAGTTCTATTTCTCCAAATCCTGTTTCGGATGTATGTTCTGTCTTCTTTGGCAATAGGGTCTTACTTTAAGTCCTGGGAGGCCATCTGGAGCTGTGACAATAGCCTGAGTAATGTGGCGAGTCTCATAGACCACCCTGGCCAACAACTCAAAGGAAAGTATCTCCCATCTGGCACTGTTTCTTGTTACATAGCCTTTAGATATACACATGGATTCTTAAAGAAGTATACTGATTAATTTAATCTTTGGTTATACTTTCCTTTTGAGTGTTTAAGATCATAGAATTGGCCCAAATAAATCAATCTATTTTTACTTTGTCGTTTGAGGATCTGTTCCTCAGGGGTCACATGGGGTTGGGAGGAGCCCCTGGCTCCTTTTCTTTTACCAGTTCCGCCTATGTGAAGATATAAGTCAAAGGTCCTTGCCGTACATTCACAGCTTTTATTGCTTCGAAGATAACTGAAGTAATGATTATTCCTTTTCATGTAATTTAATTAAAACAGCAACACACATCACATCAAGGCTTTAAAAAATGACAACTTTTCTGCCATCTCTTTTAATAGGGTGTTAGGGATTACTATACATATAGTGGCTAAGAACATGGATTGTGAAATCAGACCCTCTAACTTTGACTCCCATTCTATCAGATTCAGTGTACTCAGCACAAAATAGAGAATTTTTGTTGTTTGTGGTACTGGGGGTTGGACTCATGGCCTCACACATGCTATACAAGTGTTCTACCACTGAGTTTTAGCCTCAAACTTAACACAGAAAATTGAGTTTGTAAAGTGAGGATAGTTTCTACTTTGTAGGTTCGTATGAAGACTTAATAAGGAATTTAGTGGAATGCATGGGAATCATGCAGAGTTAATGCCTACCCCATTCTGATTTCTAATAAATGCTTGCCATTACTGTTCTCATTGGTTTGGAGAACATGTGCTTTATTAGGAGTTTCTACCAGGAAATAAACTTGAATGATTACCTATTCTTCAGTGCTCTACCTTCATGTACTGCCATGTAAATTAGAAACCAAGGAAAGACTTAAACCTGTTCAGCCCCACACGCTTTCTGGCATTTAATGTGTTAAAAGCCTCCAAATTAGGCTAGAGAGATGCTCAGTGGTTAAGAGTATTTGCTACTCTTGCAGATGACCCAAGTTGGGTTCCCAGCACCCACACAATGCTCACAACCATCTATAACTCCAGTTCCAGGGAATCCAACACCTGACCTCCATGGGCACCAGGCACACATACATGTTAGTGCACTTGCATGCAAGCAAAACACACATAAAAATAAATATTTAAAAAAAATTTTTTTGAAAGGATGCAAATGATAAGCTGTGTCACAGTGGAATAGGCTGAGAAGTTGCTCATGCAAGCTTATTTTCACAAAAAAATATTTCCCTTTTTACCTTGTCTGATGCTAGTCTTGGTTGTCAACTTGACATACCTAGGAAGAAGGAACCTCAGTTGAGGAATTTCTTCCAGCAGATTGGCCTGGGAGCATGAGCATGTCTTTAGGACATTTTCTTGATTTCCTAACCCTAACCCAGCCCACTGTGGTCTGTAGTCCTAGGCAGGTGGGCTTGGGCAGTATAAAAAAAGCTAACTTACCAAGTCAGTAAGCAACATTCCTCCATGGTTTCTGCTTCAAGTTTCTGCCCTGCTGGAGTTCCTGCCCTGACTTCTTTCAGCAGTGGGAATTTGTATAATACATACATACACTGTGACTTATAAGATGAAATAAATCCTTGCCTTCTCAAGTTGCTATTTGTCAGTCTGTTTTATCACAGCAACAGAAAGCAAACTCGAAACTTAGCATTTGTAAATTATCAAAATAAATTATCAATAAATTGATAAAGTTCTAGTAATTCATGTTTTTTAGCTAACTAGATAAATTCCCATAAAAAGTAGTGTGTGGTAATCATTTTAAAAGTTTCAGTAACATTTCCTGATACACAAGATTGGTGCTCAGATTTTTTAATTTTAGTTGAGATGTGGATCTTTAACATTTACATTTGTCTTTTTGTTGTGTTTTGAGACAGGGTCTTGCCCTATAGCTGGTCTTGAACTCTTGCTTTAACTACCTGGGTGTTAGGATTATAGGTGTATGCTACCATACCTGGCCCCAGGCTTTTCTCCTGTGGTGGTGCTTGGGATCCAACCCAGGGCCTCATGCACACTAGCTAGGCAAGTACCACTGAGCTATAACCCTAACCCTTAGTGGCTTTTTGTTAGTATTTATTAATAAATCTTCCATAATTTGTGCCTTCACTCATGAGCTGTATAGATCATACTTTAAAATAGTAAAATAACACTATGATCCCAAGATCATGCTATGACAAGCTTATGAAGTTCATTTGCAGAAGAACAAATATTTTTCTCTATTTTGTAAAATCTGGAACATGAGGGTTTAAGTTTTATGGTCCACTGGCTGCCAATCTTTTTTTTTATTTAATCACATGATTAGAAGAAGCATTTCATTACAATTAACATATTCAATAACAATTTCCAGAGCAAAGATACATCTCTCAAAAGTGGCTGTAAATTTTAGGTTCACAGTTGAATTAATACAGTTATGCAATATTAAACTCAGTGTAAACCCTGTAAGACATAAAATTGAATGAGTTTTTAACCTTTAAACAAGATCTCCATTTCATTTTAAAAATGAGTCTTTCCTACAGAAAGACTCATTTTTAATGCTACTAACGCTTAGATGTTTGCACATGTGTCTCTAATCTCTATGTATCTGATTATTACTAGTCACAGTCAGTTACACTTGGCTCCTTGGCACCTGAGTATGGATAGAAAATCATCAGGTAGATTTCAATGCTAATTTTTATCACTTCTGCTAATTAACATCAAGTAAATTTTTATGTTTCCTCCTCAAATATACCTCATTTTTTTTGTTGATTTTTTTTGTGTATATCATACAGAACATCCCAAACAATCTTATTCGTCTATATACCCACTTCCCAAATGGCACCCACCCATAGCCTCCCCCATTCCCCCACTGGAGCACATATTCTCTGTCATCCCTGTTACTGTCCACTGTGTTGTCGGTGCCCCTAGCCGGTCCCCAGTGCTTGTCCATTCGCTGAATCTAGTCAGCCTATCTAGAAATCCTTGTTTTAGGAACATGAGGGTTTAAGTTTTATGGTCTACTAGCTGCTAATCTTTAAAAAACAAAAACAAAAACAAAACATTTAACAGCTAAAAAATTCAGACCAGGCTATTTTCATTTCTCACCAACTTGTTAAGTCAATAAATTACAGTATGTGTAAAGTTGCTTTTAAAAAGTTATTGGAAATGAAAGAATGGCTCTTTACATAAATGCTATTAAGGATCATTTTTGAAGTCAAAAGATAAGTGTACTGAATTGGGTGTTGGCATGTGTCATCCTAGATTAGTACAATGTGTGCATGTCATCAGACTTGCAGGTTTGCAGGTCATAATTTGCTAGCAGAGGGCACAGGTCTACATAGGACATGGATAAGGAACCATTGCTTCTGGAGTTATTTTTTCTATTCTCCCGTTCATTTTATGCTACAGGCTCCAGAAAATCATTTCTCTAAACAGCATTGCTCACATTGACATTCTGCTCAAAAATTTAGTTCTCAGAGAGTAGAATCTAAACACCTTTAACTTTCAAACTATTCTGTGATACAAATCTGCTCACAGTCCTAGGACTTCTCCACCTTATCCAAACTGTTCTACTTTTTTCTTTCAGATGTATCACATTCATTTTAACTTTAATCTTTTCACCTGCTGTACCTGTGGCTTCTTTCCTTGCTCATCTATTAATCTAATATATAACCATGGTTTAAGGCAAGCACATATTATGTTCTCAGGGCCTTCCTAGCTAGTCATTTCTGGGCTAGACTGTTTCCCCTAGGAGGGTGAGACATAACATTTAGTCCATGTCCAGTGTTTATCATTGAAGTAATTCTTCATTTAGTCATTAGTAATATCTTTAAGGGTTTTCAGGATTAATGTTTTTTTGTTTTGTTTTGTTTTTTGTTTTTCCAAATCTAGTTTCAATGTGATATTGAGAGACACTTGGGCAATTGTCAGAGCTGATCCCAACAGCTATTTCTGTAGAGAAACTTGTTTGGCTGAAGTTGCCATTTAAAGTCTTTTATGGCCTTCATTCTTTAATGTGTTCTCTGGTCTATGTCTAAATGTTGTTGAGAATCAGATAACTCTGGATTGACTATATGTGGTGTTGGCCTTTGCATTGGAGCCACCTGTGCTCCTGTAGCTGTGCAGTAGATTTATAACCTAATAGGGTTAAGAGCTAAAGAATATTTATGTTAAGTACCTTATAAAGCAAAAGTTCAATCAGTATGTAAAAGAAAAAAAGATGTGTTTTGACTACAAATTAGTTTAGCAAAGTTTTAAGATCCCCTTGATGTTTGAATAAAAATTATTTCCACATAAATTTCACACACTGGGTCAGGACCTGAGCCATCGGAGGTAGTACAGGTAAGTGTTGAAATTTGTATATTTTTCTTCCTATTTCTCTCTTATGAGAGCCTTGGTTAATTGCACTAAGTAGAGTTTGAAATAAATCTTTCAAATACTCAAAGCAATGGAATATTCTACATCATGAAACACTACAAGTCTACTTTGTTTGTTTCTTTGTTTTTTCAATGCTAGAGGTATTGAACCTAGGGACTCATAAATGCTAGGTAAGTGCTCTACCACTGAGCTACATCCTGGCCCTTCCAAGTCTACTTAGAATGGGAGATTTTAGAGCATTGTTCTGTGATGTAACTACTCTACATTCTGAATATCCAGGTCAGCTTTGGCTCTGAGATTCAAGAACATTGCTCTGCTGAAACTCTGTGCAAGTCTTCTGCTTTCTTTCTATAGCTACATTGAAAAATGTCTGCTTATGAACTCCTCTTAGGTATGACTTAGTGTTTTCCTCTATCGTTCTTTCTTAAGATGGTTTCTTCTTTTGAGTTCCCACCTTCCTCTTCAGATTTTTTCCTCAGTTTTTCTTCATTCCCTTGCCCATTGCCCATTTCGTAGGAGTTCTTTGTTTGGCCAGCTTAATTGTTCATGCTGCATATTCTATATTATGTCTACAACTTTGGTGCTCTGAATACTGGTATTCTCTCCAGGTTGGCTTTCATTTTGTAGCTTGGCTAACCTGAAACTCACTATGTAGACCAGGCTGGCCTCGCACTTCCTGCCTCTGCCTCTTGAATGCTGAGATTAAAAGCATGAGCCGCCATACCTGGCACTGGTCCTTTTTATTTTTTTCCCCAAGCTATGAGTCTGTGCATTCATCCATTCAGTATGTAAATAGGTGTTTATTGGGTTCTAGCTGTGTGCCTGGCATTGTTTAAGGTAATTGGGCACAACACTGAGGAAGACGTTACATTATCTTGGAGGAAAACAGATGGTGGGTAATTTCAGATACTGGGCAATGACATAAACTGATGAGATGGGGTGGAAATGGCAGAAGGGGGCAATTTGTATGAGGAAATCAGGGACGTCTTTGTAGGGAGATGACATTTTGACTCTGCAACATAAATATCTGGGGCACTTTTAGCACATAGTGTGAGAATCATCTTTGGACCTTTAAAAGTACGTAGCCTTCACTCCTAAGTACTCCTGTTAATTAACTGAGATGGGCTAAGTTCTTATGTTTTTAAGAAAGCTTCCCAGACTGTGGTATTATGGTTAAGAATAAAGAACCTCTAGTCAATAGGAAGAATTAGTGTTCTAGGTCTCACTCATTAAATTGTAAGCTTCATGAAGGTAATACTGGCTGTTGTATCATTTTTTAAAAATAATGTGTCCCAAATTGAAACCAGCATCTCTTCCCTTGCCCCCTCCCAAACCTGCTGTTCTGTGTACTTTCCCTTAGAGCAAGGTGACAGCAGCTAGTATCTAGGCAGCATATTTGGTTCTCCATATAACCTCCATCCTCAGCTCTTTGCCCTATGTCTTCAGTGTGGCTGCCGTAGCCCCTCCAGTCCTGTGACAGCCAGTGCTCGGTTATCTGCACTCTCTGAAAAGCAATAATCTGATGAAATCATTTGCCTGTGTAAATTCCTTTCTTGGCTTCTGTTGTTCTCAGGATAGAGCCCAACCTCTTTGCCACATGTGGTCATCATGGCTTCCCAGTCTTTCCTGGCTTTTCATCTTCTGTGCTAAGTGTCACTCATGTTGATCTCCATGGAGTAGGATGGGAGTATGATTCGGTTGCGTTGCTGCAGACATCCAGCAGGAAGGGAGGCTTGTTTAGAATGGCGGCTTGTTTAGAATGACATTCTCCAGTTTGCTTGCTTCTTCAGGTACAGGCTCAGATGTTCCCTGGGGTAAGGCTCTCATGACACAAAATATTGATCGATAAGACCCATTTATGCTTACCCCAACTTACCACTTTTAGTATAACTGCTATCATTATCACTGTTTGGTTACCATAGCTAGTCAACGTTAAGTGGTAAGCATTTACATGTTAAGTAAGAATTTTGTTCCAAATCAAACTTCTGTTCATTGTGTATATGTATACTTTTAATGTAAACTAATTTTTTTTATAGGAGAACTATGCCATTTCTGGGTCAGGACTGGAGATCCCCTGGATGGAGCTGGATTAAAACTGAGGATGGATGGAAAAGATGTGACTCCTGTAACCAGGAGCTCAGAAGTGAAAATAGCCAGTGTACCATCAACCATAGCATGTAAGTCTCAATGAGACAGAACCATTGCCTGCCAGCCTGGCATTTGTGGCCTCATCTGTTTTTCAGGTCACTACAGAGCTTACAATTTTGCTCACTATTTTAGCTAGGCTGGTTGTCCAGAGCTCTTAGAATCTGCCTGTGTCCACCCCTCAATGCTCGGGTTACAAGCATGTATGTCCATGCCTGGTTTTTACATGGGTGCTAAGGATTCGAACTTGGGTTCTCCTGATTATGCAGCAAGCACTCTTACCCTTGAGACATCTCTCCAGCCCCAAGCTTGCCATCTTAATCATAGCTCTATGTGTAGTTCAGTAGCATGCCACGAAACCTTTCCAAACTGAAACCTTGTCCCCAATAAACATTAACTCCATCCCTTCTTTTAGCCCCTAGTACTTAGCACTCCTAATTCTTTCTCTGTTTGTCCTTTTGTGACTGGATTATCTGATTTAGCATAATGTCCTCAAGGCCTAACTGTGTTTAGCATGTGTCAGTAGTTCCTTCATTTTTGAAAACTGCATAATATTTCAGTGCATAGATTTGTTACATTTTGTTTGCCTATACAATTATTGATAAGACATGGGGAATACTTGTACATTTCATTATTTGAAACTAGTACTGCTGTGAATGCAGGAGTGCAGATGTTGCTTCAAGACCCTGCCTTCGATTCTTTCAGTTCCTATGGTAATTTGTTTTAATTTTTAAGGAATCACCATAGTGTTTTCCATGCAGACTATACTATTTTACATTTCCACTAACAGTGCATAAAGGTTTAATTTTCTATATTCTCACCAACACATATTTTCTGCTGTTTGGATAGCAGCCATCCTAATAAATAGAAGGTAACATATTGCAATTTTAATTTGCATTTCCATAAGAATTAATTATACTGCACATGCTTCGGTGTGTTTCTCGGTCATTTGTATTTCTTCCTTGGAGAAATAGCTATTGAAATTCTTTACATATTATTTGAGTTTGGGGTATTTGTTGTTGAAGATTTTTAAAGATTTTTTTTTTAAAGCAGGGTGATATTTATCTTGGTCAAAAATACCAAAGGTTATTAAAAGAGGTGTTTGCTACAAAATATAGTTGACTGCTAGTTAACATACATATAAAAATGTACATTTTGTATAACACTGAATAGTTTTATAATATTTATATGTGTTGTATTTTAGTTTTGGAAGTATTTTTCTTCCTCAGTTTTATTTTGTGTACTTGACTATAAAAACCATCACTGGGCTGGAGAGATGGCTCAGCGGTTAAGAACACTGACTGTTCTTGCAGAAGATCTGGGTTTAAATCCCAGCAACCACATGGCAGCTAACAACTGTCTGTAACTCCAGTTCTAGGGGATCTGACAGCCTCTTCTGTCTTCCGCAGGCATTGCACAACACGGGTGCACTTACCTACATGCAGGCAATACATGCATACACATAAAATAAAAATAATAAATAAAAATTTTTTAAAAATCACAAAACATACTTTTTCTTTTTTTTTCCTCATCTGAAAATATTTTGTAAAAATAATAACTACTAAGGCTGGGTGTGGTGGTGTACACCTTTAATTCCACCACTCAGGAGTCAGAGGCAGGTAGATCTCTGAGAGTGCAAGGCTACCCTGGTTTACAATGCAAGTTCCAGGCCAGCTGGGGCTACAGGGAGACCCTGTCTCAAAAAAACAAAACAAAACACTATTTATATATAGATATAGATACAGATAGCAACTGGTTAATAATTTGCCCAACATAGCTATTTTCCCTTATTACCTGTAGGTATCCCCCTAGGGCCTCTTTTCCCAGTTCCTTGAGTCCAATCAAACCTTGGGCATCTTAGGGAAAACATCAGGCAGTACCCAGGGAGGGCATTCTTCTGTAGAAGTTGCAGCCTGAAGGTTTGGGACATTGCTACTACAGGTAGTCTGTCTAGGGCTCAGCTGGGAATGGGTCTGTTTCCTCTCTGTTGGAGCATCTGAAAGTGGCATAGTCAACATGTCTGTGAGTGTCCACAAAGCTCACTCTGTCTCACACACCTACCAGAGCTAGTGCATGAGTTGCCCTTATTTATGAAACAGGTTGCCCACCTTATTGTTTTCTAGAGAACAATGTTATTTCACTTTTCCTTTGATATGTTTGTGATTTCAAATTAGAAAAGCTTTTTCAGATTTATAAGTGTCTCCAACTAGCATTTGAATCAGTAAAAACAAACTAGTATAAGATTAAATATAAGATTCAAGGACCAACATGCTTTCCTGAGTGACAGAATGCAGTTGTGTATTTCAGATGCTCCTTGGTGTCTAGACAGTTTATGGCCATTATCCATGTTATTTAAGTTCTGACAGTGATGAACATACTTCATGTGGCAAACTTAGTGGTTTTATTAAAGGTGCACACTGAGGCTTTTAAACAATTTTCTTGTCAAAGAACAGTGATGGGGAAATAAGCAATTTTAGATCTTTGGTTTTGAGTACTCTTCCCACATGGTTCCACTAGCCAACTTGACTCCACGGCAATTCCTTCCTCGCTTTCAGACTGAAAACTGACTAGTCAATGTGTCAACAACAACAGCAAAAAGCAGTTTTAGTTTTTATGGCATGGATTGCTATTTATATTTTTTCTTATTACACAAAGAAGATTTTTTAAAGAAAAGATGTTCAACTTGTTATTGCCTTGTGAGTTGAGTTCTTTATTTCATAAAAATAAGGAGTACTAGAGTACTTCAAATGTGTGTAAGTGGTACAGATGTATGTAAGTGATACAGATGTTTCATTTATCTGATTCTATTAAGTATCTTAGCATATTTGATTGATGCTAATTAGGAAAATGTTCAGGGTAGCAACAATTACCTTCAGTTAGATCTTTGAAAATGTAGATGATAAACAGGAATGTTAGTGTTTACTCAACTTTGAATCAGGAACGTAACAAGTTGTTAGTCCCAGGGTAATACTGCCACTAGTTGGTTTTTTTCAGGGTTTTAATAGTTTTGTTTGCAATGTCCATGTTGTAATAAAGCATTTTGATGTATGGCTCAGCATATCAGAATCCTTGGCAGAGCCTAAAGCATATCCAGCACTTTCTGGAGGAACTTTCTCAAAAGAAACAAGATGTGTCTCAATTCCTTCAAAATGAAAAAAATGTAGTAAATATTACCTTGTGTTTCAAGCTCATGATTTCTCTGAAAATTAGCTAGTGCTTTTCAGAATTTAGCACAATCTTTATTTTGAATTTCCAAATTGCAAACTGTATGTTTATTTTATTCTTTTACAAAAGAAAAGCCAAATAAAGTTCTCTATGTAAAACTTATTTTAATAATATAATCTTTATTTCAGTATACTAAATAGTGGAGAAGAAGAAATATTCAGGGATGAGTGTGAATATGCATCCAAAAAGAGAAAAAAGGACCATTTTGGAAATGATGCAAGTGCTCACAGTAAGACTATTTTCACTGATAATTTTATGCTGTTTTGCTTGTGGAATGTGTTGACATGCTGAATTGTCTAGCATGTCTCTATCTTATGAGATAAAGGGTGATGTAGGTGTGTAAAAAAGCACTCTGTGTAGTGACACCCACTAAGATGTGATACTTTCTGAAATAATTTTTCATGTAGAGGTGTCTGAGCACCTATGTGATACCAGGAAACAAAATATTTCTGTTTACATTTACCCAAATAAAAGCAAGTCAGGTAATTTTGCTAGCATACCTGAATTAGTTACTTTTCTCTTGCTGTGATAAAACACTATGACCAACACAACTCATAGAAGGATGAGTTTATTTGGGTTTATGATTCCAGAGGGATAAGAGTTCATCATAGTGGGAAGACAGGCAACCAGAGCAGGAAATTGAAGGCTCACATTTTTCTGGTGTGCATACAAAGCAGACAGAGCAACAGAAAGGGGATCAAGGCTATGAACTCGCAAAACCTGCCCTAGTGACATGCTTCCTCCAGCAAGGCCACACCTCCTAAACTTCCACAAACACTGTCACCAACGGGTACATAATCAAATATGTGAGCCTATGGGGGACATTTCTCATTCAAACCACCACAATATCCAGTTATTAAAATTTTCTTTAAAATCTTCATTTTGAAATTATATCCCAGATTTTTAAAAATATCTCATTTTTATTCTAGGTTTTTATCGTGAAAAATGGATCTATGTGCATAAAGAAAGCACAAAAGAAGTAAGTATGCTATTAGAAGAGTGTATGCTGTATTGTTTCTGTTGAACATGTCACGTTAATAAATTTATTTCTTTTGCAATATGAGATCTGTGGCTCACATTCCACCCGATGAATACATGTCATATAGAAGCTTTTTGAAGTAGTGATTATAATTAGGTACATGTGCTTGTGTTTATATTTGACTGATGTGTACTGTGTACGTGTGGTGTGTGTCTATGTGTGGTGTCAGATGTATTTGTGATACGTAATGTGTATTGTATGTGTTTGGGTTACGTGGTTTTTATGGTGTGTGTTTGTGGTATGTGAGGGATATGTGTGGTATGTCCATATGAGTGATGTGTGCATATGTGAGGCATACGCCATGTACCTATGAGTGATATGTGGTATGTATGATATATTTATGCATCATTTATGTGGTATGTGTGTGGTATATAATGCATATGTCACATGTGTATTGTATGTTCATATGGCACATAGAATACATGTGTCTGGTATGAATGACATGTTTGTGCATGGAGTGTTTGTGTTTAGCATGTGATTATGGCATGTGTGGTCTATATACTGTTTGTACAGTGTGTATACATCTCTAAATAAGCAACTCTTCCTTCAGATCAAGCATACATTCCCCTGGGTTTGATCCATGTTCTGTCAGTGTGACCTGCTGCTAGTGGGGTTGTTACTTTATCTTGTGTGTTTGGGGGAAGAAGGTCCTTTTGAAACCCTCCTTCCATAATGGAAACTAGCTCATAGGAACCTTCGCATTGAGATCGGCTCTGCAGAGCATTTTACACTCTTTCTCTGCCTTTGATTGCCAAACTCACTAAATTTTTCTTATGAGCCATCACATAACCAATTGGCTACACTGTTTCTCATTTCTACTTAGTGTCAAGGAAGCTTAATTCCTCTTATAGCCCTTGAACACCTGCATTTGCTTAATTTCACAGCAATTGGAAAAAAAGTACCTAAAGGTACAATTTCTCATTATGATTAGGTTAGGATTAGTTAAGTGTTCTTACTTTTAATAATATGTTTATTTAAATTTTTATCACATTCATTTATTCTCTCTCTTTGTGTGTGTGTGTGTGTGTGTGTGTGTGTGTGCGTGCACGCGCACGTGTGTACGTGCGTATGCTGTGGTGTGCTTGGGGAAGTCAGAGGACAGTTTTTGAGAGTGAGCGCTCTTCTACTGTATGGGTCCTGGGGATTGAACTTGAGTTGTCAGGCTTGGCAGCAGGCACCTTACCAAGTGAGCCATCTCATGAGCCCAATAATATCTTCAAAGTATCTCAGCTTTCTAGAAGAGATTTGATTTGAGAAAGAAAACTTGGTTGTTAATGTTGTTAAATGGGTCCTAACATGATTCCAGTTCCAGAGTTTGTACAAAGCAAAGCTTGATTAACTATCTACCCTATTTTGTGAGCCATTGGATTCTAGCTGGCAGAAGCAACAAGAGGAATATGTTAGGATGTCCTGTGGCTTCTTGGGACAGAGACCTGACAGTCTTTCAAAGAGCCCAGGACTAGCTGTCAGGTTGGTATCTGATCATGTGCTGTCTTCCTCATATCTGATGCTGACCCAGGGAACCTTCAAAGGCAAATAGATGCACTTGAGTGTGTACTCTGACCAGTTTGAGTTGGTGGTTATCTCAAAGAGGTATCTGCACCACCATTCAGAATTCTTTTTCTTAGTGAGACTTTTGTCTATAATGGATTTCAGATTATGTTTTGTACCTGGCCTTTGTTTCCCCAAAACTTCAGAACAGTGCTGTGTATGTAGCAAATGCTCAGAGAATGTGTGCATTGATGTTTCATGTGAATGTGTGGTTGAGTTATACACATTAGGACTGCTCTTGGAGTAGGGCACAAAACCACACTGCTGTCCCTGCTGTTCCTCATCATCCCCCACTCACCTGTTTGGGACTCAAAGAGTCACCTGCCACTTTGTGGTTCCTGCTATTGTTGTCCAGTTTATATGTCCCCATAACCCTGAATTGAAAAATCTGTGTATAAAATTAAGTATCCAAGTGCAGAAGCTAGGTTGAAGATGGTTCCTGACCAAAGGTGAAATCTGACTTTTAAAGAAGACAGAAGACCTTAGAACAGCAATACTTATGGAACAGAGGGAAAATTTTTTATATTTCATTTTAAATTCTTAAACCTATGCATCTCGTTATAACAGTTGGCTTTTTGGGTGCTCAGCTCCCATGTTCCCACTGATTGTCAGGCCTGGGTTTTGTACCCTCAAGCCTCCCACACTCCCCCTCATTTTTCAGAGGTTGCCTTCTGTTTTGGGATGCCCTGTGAGGCTTGGTTATTGAACACACTTCCACTGGGGCAATCCAATGCTCCCTTACAGAGAAATCCTATTCCACATGTGCAACACCAGCATTCTTAGGCCTCATGTCCACTGCTACCCACCCCCCCATTTTGTCCCTAGCAAAAGAAATCAGTACAGTAATTCATCAATACTTGATATTCATTGTATCAGCAATAAGTTTATGCCTAATGTCTCAATTGCTTATAATTGGCTTAAATTTACCATTGCTATTCTCAGTTCTTATTTATATCTGACATAAATTTTCAGAAGGAATAGAAATGCTTTTAACTAAAACTTTCAAAGATGTTCATACAACCTAACTGATATAACTGTCGACTCATTTTGCCTGGTTGGCTGATTTCAGTACTTGTCTGATGTTTTCTAGAGGCATGGCTACTGTACCCTGGGAGAAGCTTTCAACCGGCTAGACTTCTTAAGTGCAATTCAGGACATTCGAAGGTTCACTTATGTGGTCAAAGTAAGTATTTTATTTCAAAAACAACTTTGATGACTCTTAAATGACTGTTTTGAAGTCATTACAAATATGAGGTATTCAAGATGCTTTTGATTACTGCATAAAAGTTACCTGCTTACTGCACAGGAGGGAAAAAAACAAATTCAAGAGAAGACATGGGGTAACCTACCAACACTAAGGTCACAAGTTACAAGCAGGTTGTTAGAAGGCATCCTTCCTGGGCACACCTGATACCCTTTACTCAGGAGGATCCATGATTATTCCACATGGTTTTCCATTTCATCTGTTTCACTGAGAATGAGCCTTGTTACACAAAGGAACAACTGGCTAATAGAAAAGAAGAATCTTTTAAAATAGAACTCCCTTTCCAAAGCCTTACTGTATCATTGGTGGTTTTTTTTTTTTAGAAGAAATTTCTATCCTGGGCTACATTCAAAAGGAAAAGAGCTTTACCATATAGTCTACTTATAGCTTGCCTTTACTTATCTAAAGTATCATCACCATGTTCACTTCAGTGCATTATAGGTAAAGTACAAGTCATAGCTTTCAAAGCTACTAATTCTGTTTCCAGTGGTGCTCTGAGACTCTGGGAAGATTCTTCTCAATGGTTTCTAGGTATTTAGAAGTATTGATAGAAAATATGCGATTGAGTTGCTATTGACCTCAGCTGGTTTTGATGTATAGTATGATTCCATGCAGCACTGGTAGGTGGCAGGAGAAAAAAGATCACAGGCTCTTGTCCATTGTATACAGTGGGCACTGTTTTCTGAACTATAGTGGAGAAGGTTGCAGAGCATCTTCCTAGGTACTTCTTTTCTGGTGATGGAACTGAGATTCAGTTCTAGCTTATTCAGTTGTTGAGGAGTTAAGTATTCAGGGAAGACACAGGCCTGTTTTATAGTGACTGTTTCTATGCCAGCTCTTTGGTGGTTCATACCACAATATGTTAACTTTCAGCAGCAATTCATGACCATAGATCTACATAAAAAGATTTGATTCTTAAATTAGTTTATAGACATGGAAGAAGGGAGCCACTCCTGGGTTATGGGTGCTAGATGCCAGGTTTCATGGTCTCCGTTTGACTTTAGGGAAGGTGTGAGTGTCCAGTGCTTTGTATGGGGCAGAATATGAACTAGGACTAGTGTTTATCCATTTCAGTAACTTGAAACACATCAGACTTTTTCTTCTTGTTGTTTTAGCTGCATACTAAACACTATTATTTACTGAGTATCTTCACACTGACTTTTTAAAACAAAAACGACCGCATCATCCCATAGTTATATCTAGAATAATTATAAAATGTTACATATCTTTTTTCTTAAAGTAGGCAATCTTAGGGAAAAAGCTTCAGAATTTTATTTGGAAAACAAGTTTATCTTAGATACATCCTGTTCTGCCTATAAACCAAAGAGACATAGTAAGTATATATGATATCAGACACTTCAGGGATAATATATTGTGGTTTAGAATCTAAGCCTTCTTTGCTGTACTTTTGTTTGTTTGCTTGCTTGCTTTTTGGTCCATTGTAGCTGAGTTGGTCACTCTTGCCTTCATTTAAATTTTTGTGTCTTGGGAATTGCTCCTGGTCCCTTTTGCCATAAATTTTCCTCCATTTTTCCAGAGTACCCCCATGATTAGTAGTGAAGCTGGAAACCCTAGAAAGACATCATAAAGTGAAATATGTGGTTAAAGGTTTGGAGGGGTTGTTTTGGTTTGGTTTTTGGTTTTTTTGAGACAGGGTTTCCTTGTGGCCCTAGCTGGCCTGAAACTATGTAGTCCAGGCTAGCCTTGAACTCACAGAGATCCACCTGCCCCTGATTCCCAAGGGTGGGAATTAAAGGCTTGCACATCCCACCTGGCTTGGTTGAAGGTTTTTAAGCACATTTTAAGATTTTTGTTGTGGTCTCCATGACAGCAGAGTTTGAGGATGCAGAGATTGGTGCCTTATGTGGATAGCAGTCACTCTGGTACCTGAGTTCCTCTCCTCTCTTCATTTGTCTAAAAGGTAACTTCAGGCAAGTAGCTGAACCTCCTTTTCCAGACTATATGGGATTCTAGGACCCACTTCAGGGACTTTGATGGGGATTTGGTCAGTTAGAGCACAAAGTGTGGGGACAGGCTGCTCTGCAACTGTTAGCTACTATTTAAACTTTCTTTTGAGAGTGACACAGGCAGAGAGGTAGGTACTTGCAGACCCTCACCACCCAGGACTCAAAGTGAAACAAGGACAAAACAAAAGACTTCTTGTCACACCTTGGTTTTGGTAATTATGTAAACTTCTCTGAGAGAGTGACCAGCATTCTTAGTATATCATATGACATTTTAGAGTAATGAAAGAAAGCATTGAAAAGATATTTTTAAAATTTGATATTCAAGCCAGAGATATGGCTCAGTGTGTTAAGGCACTTCCTTCCAAGCCTCACAACACAAGCTCAATCCCTGGGACCAACATAGTGGAAAGAGAGAATGAATGGCCACAAGTTATCCTCCATAGCATTACACAGGTATAAACACCCATACACACACACACACACACACACACACACACACACACACACACACCACAATAAATAAATAATGAAAAAATAGTTTCTGATGCTATCACTGAACAAGCTTTTGCTTTGTTAAACTTTGTCTTAAGAGAAATTATTGAATGCTAATTATCATTTATCTGGTAATTCTTGCTATGTCAGAGTCACTTGGCAAATAGTACTTTTTATTCTTAAATGAGAGAGTGAACAAATTAACAACTATTTAAATGAGTTTGCTTTACAAGGTACTCTACTTTTACCATTGTTAAGTAATCTCTACAAATCCTACTTGAAGTCTATGGCCTGGTGTGATGGTTGGTGTTAATTGTCATTCTGACAGAAATTAGAATCGCCTGGGAGAAGGGCCTCTGGGTGGGGGAGGGTCTTGATTGTATTAATTGAAGTAAGAAAGCCTTCCCATGTGTGTGACACCATTCCCTACTTAGGGGATCCTGGACTGTATGACTGGAGAAGGTGAGCTGAGCAGGTTCCTTCCTCTGACTAGACTTAATGTGGCTGGCTGCCTCAAGTTTCTGATGCCTTGGCTTCCCCAACATGATGGATTGTAATCTGAAACTGAGCTAGAATAAACTTTCTCCCTTAAATTGCTTTTGTCAGAGTATTTTATCATAACAAAAAGAAAAGAAACTTAGGACACCTGGCTAGCAGGACACCCTATGATAATTACATTTTGTCCAGGTACAAGTACCAGTTCTTCAAGAAAACTTGTTATGTAGAAATAGAGGAAGTCATTTCTATTTTGTAAAAAAGGCTCTTTACAAAAGGGTGTGTTCTGCTTTCCTAAGTTAGTAGAATATCTCTTACACAGAAAAAAAGCATATGCATGTGTGTCTTTTAAAAAAATCTTCCAGGACTGGAGAGGTAACCCAGTAGTTAACACTTGCTGGTCTTCCAGTGGACATGGGTTCAATTCCTAGCACCAACATGGCAGAAAACAAACATCTGTAACCCCAGTTCCAGTGAATCCAACACCCTCTTCTGGCCTCTGCAGGGCATGGCACACACATGGTGTACTTACATACATTCAGGCAAAATATTCATACACATAAAATAAAAATAATAAAATTTTAAAAAATCTTCCATATTAAATATGGATTCAAGGGCTGGGCGTGGTGGTGCACACCTGTAGTCCTTGCACTGGGGAAGCAGAGATAGGCAGATCTCTGTGAGATTGAAGCCAGCCTGCTTTACATAGCAAGTTCCAGGCCAGCTGGGGCTATAGGAAGACCCTGTCTCAAAAAGAAAAAAAATAAAATAGAAAAGAGCAAGGACAAAGGAAACAGCCTAAGAACCGTATAGAAACACTGTTTTTGCAGAAAGGAAGTGCCTGTCAAGTTTGTCCTCAGCTGAACTAAATCTGACCTTGTATTCTATGCTTTTAAGAAAAATTGGAGGTAATTGAAGATTATGGCAGTAGGTTGCCCTGGTTTTTTTGTTTGTTTGTGTTGTTATTCAATGACCTGCTGACAAAAGATTCTCTATATACATATCCAAACTTCAACAGCGATCTGGGGCAAATGGTGCTAATACAGGCTGCAAGTATATAGTGCCATCTTCATTTTTTGTTTTAACAAAACATTTTATCCTATCCACAAGGCTTAAACAACAACTAAGAATGCTTTTACCAAAATTAAATAATTTTTGCATGTTGTATGTATGTGCGTATATATATATATGTGTGTGTGTATTTGCATGTATATGTACGTTTGTTTGTGTGTTTGTATGTATGTATGTTTGCACATGTAGAGGCCAGAAGTTGACATCAGATGGCTTCCTTGGTCATTCTCTGCTTTATTTACTGTGGTGCAGGGCTTCATTGAACCCAGAGCTCACTGATTCATCTAACCAACTTGCCCTGAGAATCCCCTGTCTCTGCCTTCTCAGTGCTGGGATTGCAGGTGGGCTGCTATACCCACCTAGCATTTTATGTGAGCTCTGGGGATCTGAACTCTATTCCTTGCATTAGCATGGCAAGCACTTTATCCCCACTAAAATTACAACGCCACCCTAACCCTACCAAAATTAAAATTATATGTTATACAATAGTTCAATTTTAGATAAAATAATTGTGTTTCTTTCAGCTAATGCTACAAATCTAGACAAGGTAAGAGTTAAAATGGGATATTAGTCCCCAATGGAAAAGGGGAAATTCAGAAAGCAGAGGCCTTTTCCCATACCTAAGCCTGAATAACTCTATGGATCGTTTATGAGAGGCACTAGTTCCTGAAGAAATGGGAGAGTGGCAGTAAGCCCGGAACTTGCAGAGTATCTTAGGAAAGGAATTGAAATACTGCCAGTCTAGAAAGAGAAACTACATACAAGTTTAAGGAATCAGTAGATCTGCTTTGGCCTGCTCTCATAGAGTATAGGTTACATTCCTTAATGTTAAAGTAAGAAAGATTGGAAAAATTTCAAAATCTGATAACCAAATTTCAGTCACAGAAGGCTGTT